TAGGAGCGGGCCGCCCTTCTTGAACAATACCACCATTCATGTTCCCGCCCATGCTTCTGGCACCTCAGCGCCCGTCTGTAGCACGTCATTGAACACGCCGGAGAAGAAATTGCGAAAGGTAGCTTTTGATAACTTCAACATCTCCGCCACCGTGTCAGACTCATCCGTGCATTTTCCTCATCTCAAACTCCCCAAAGCCGATCTCAACCCATCCAACGTGGAAGGTAGGATCGAAGGTAGGATCCCCTCAGTGGCAGCATGGTGGATGCAATTTCCAGCGCGACGGCCCGCCATCAATTTCTCACAAACAAACACGCGAATACTCATTCAACGCTCCTTTTTGTCGGTATGCTCTGTGCCACCATCATATTAAACCGTCACAATGTATTGTTTTTTCTTGGACCTCAAGCCCAAGCAATCCGCAATTTGCCGCAGAACTCTGTCAATATTGGGTCGATACGCGCCTCACGTTCCAGCCTCAATCTGGTGCTGACAATACCCGCGATGCCTTTACTACCTCAAGTCGGCGTGCCTTCCTCTCTACAGCATTCAAGTCAAGCTTGCGCCGTCGGCCTCTTCGTTCTGCAATGAATGGCGCGAGCGAACCGCAACAAATGCAGGGCGACGCGGTCGACGTTGGAAACGGGATGACATCCTCGCGCAAACCCACCATGTATCACTCCAGTGCCCATGTCTCTGCTCAAAGTGTACACCCTTTCTGAATATAGTGCTTGAGTTTTCGCGTCTAAAACGTCCTCCGACCAAATGCTCCCATCAACTGCTGAATCCAAACTGTTCTGCAGTGTCCGTGCATGGGCCTTCGTTGGCGGTCGCACAAATATGCGTCATTCAACTGGCCTGTGGTCCGGACCACTGTCCAACCACTTGTTCACCTGGCAAAATATCATCGCTGAAAAGATACGGCGGTCAACCAACATGAAATCCAACAGCTTCCTCAAATCCTTGTTTGAATACGTCCAAAAGCTCGCCGCTTCCACAAGATCAAATGTACTTTCCAAGACAAAACCGAGAAGCATACAAACGTGCAGTAACCACTCCCAGCGAACCATGCGATGTGTGATTGTAAAATTGGCCCCAGGAGTGCCGTGTCCTACTTCTTCTTCAACAGAAGGGCCCACCTAAGCGGTCAAGTCCCCTGCAATCAGAAACCGATGTCTCGTACCACCCCTTGGGGCTAGACGATTATAAAGACTAGAATGAACAGCTTCGTCGTAAGCGTTATCTATTACTGAACGTGGCATGTAAAAAAACAAAAACTCTGAAATTAAGAACGCCTGCCACCAACTCAAAAAACAACTCTTCGATCGCATACTGCACGGAGAGACGCGTAAAACAATCTTATGGTAACCAATCTGCCGATATCGCTCTTTCCCTTGCTCCCACCGCTCCCGAACCACTTGGGGCCGCCCTCTGCAATGAAGATTTCCTCCGACTTCTGCTCCCGCCATGTTTCCGTGAACACAATCAGGTTCCAGCTCTGACCATTCAGCTCGTCGAGCAGAATTGGTGAATTCGTGGGAGCAGGAGGAGGAGAAGGAAGAGGGGTGGGAGGAGGAGGAGGAGGAGGAGAGGAGGAGGAGTGACTCATCAAAAGACCCGCCTTCTCCCCAGGGAGGGAGGAGGGAGGAGGGGGAGAGAGGAGGGCACAGGAGGCAGGAAGGCGAGGAGGAGGAAGAGGAGGGGGCGGGCGGGGAGGGGGGGGGATTAAGAAGAGGAGGCGGAGGAGGTTGAGGAGGAGACGGAGGAGAAGGATGGGGGTGCTCAGAGATCCTCAGGGTGTTCAGAGATCCTCAGGATGATCCTTATCTTCCTCCGATACCCGAATACCACCAGATATGATGTAAACATGTTGTTTTCGTTGTATGAGATGCCGCTGGACCATACTGTGCACAGTTGTTGTTGTTGTTGCTGTTTGTTGTTTTTTCGTTATTGGGCTTCTTGTGTTCAATACACCCGCGGATGATAACAGCCACAACAACCTGTATATAGTGTGGCTTGGAGGGCGTGCTCCCGCCACCAAAGCACTGTGGCTAATAGGGTCTGGCGGTATCCCATGCCGGACACATACAAATCACAAATGATCTGTACATAGCAGCGTGTGGTGGTATTCGGGCATCGCTGGGTCAGAAAGAGGAGGCGCAAACAGAAAGAAATAGGACGGGGGAGCGGAGAAAGAGAAGGATGATGATAAGGTGGAGGAGGGAAAGAGAAGGAGGATAACACGATCGGTGGATGCTGTGCTGGTTTTGAAGGTTTGGGGGGGCGCATGGGGGATACCATATCTGGATGTAGCCGTGTGTAGATGGGTGTGTATGTATGTATGTTTGTATGTACGTATATATGTATGCATACATGCATCCATGTATGTGTGCGCGTACGTACGTGTGTATAGGTATGTATGTGTGTATGCACATGTGCATATGTGTATGTATGTATGTATGCCGGCATGTGTATGCATAACTGCATGTATGTATGTATGTATGTGTATGTATGTATGTATGTCTGTGTATGTATGTATGTATGTATGTATGTATGTATGCGTGTATGTATGTATGTATGCACGTGTGTGTGCAAATATGCACGTATTGATGTATGTATGTGTATATACGCTTGCATGCACGCATGTGTGTATATGAGTATGCAAACGTACGTATGTATGCATGCACGTGTGTTTGTATGTAATCATGTATGGATGCATATATGCATGTATGTACGTGTATGCAGATATTCGTACATGCCTAGGGCTATGTGTACGTATGTGTATACTTTATGTTTAAACCTGTATATGGCTATTTGTAGGTATATGCGTATGCGTGTGGTGTGCCTCTATATGTGTATATCAAACACATGTAGCTGTACATTTATATAAATACGTGTGTATAGATGTTGACACTTGAGTATGTATATGCACGTATATGTGTATGAAGGTGTAACTGTATGTGCACATGGTTAATCATATGCATATGTATGCATACACGGGCGTATGTGTATGTGCTTGTTTGGCTGCATGAATCGTTGTTTATGTAAGTCTGTATGCATGCATCTCTGCATGAATGTATGCATGTATGTATGCATGCATGTTTGTGTGTGTGCGTGTGCGTAACTTTGTGTGTGGGTTCGGTTCGGCATGACGGCGGGGATGCAAAGCCGGTTCCGGGGATGGTGTCGAGGGCTCTAGGGTTCCCCGTCCTTGTGAAGACGTCATGGGTTCGGGGGTCTGGGGCGCGCTGGCGACGTAGCCGTCCCCAATTCCCTCACCCACCTGCGTAATGTTCGGGCGCGGCATAACCGACCCCTTCTGTGACAAAACACCTTTCGTGACGTCCTCCGGCCTCCAGGCCAACCGCCAGCCGCAAATGTGCGTCTTGGGGTGAGGCGAGGGGGACGTCACGGAAGGGGATAGTTTGCTAGGTGTCGGTTAGGCCGCCCCTGAAGTAACCGCCTCTTCTTCCCCCCCCGTCTCACTGCCCGCCTCCTTCTTCCCCCCCCTTCATCCTCCCCCCCGCATCCCTCCACCTGCTTCTGCACTTCTACTCGGGTCGGACGGAGGGGGGGGGGGGGCGGGGGGAAGCCAAAGGAGGGGCCAGCGAATGAGCTCACGCAGCTGGCTTCCCCGGCGCCTCCCGGCGCTGGAGGCGGGCACTGAGGAGAGCGCCTGGCGAAGGGGCCGAAGCTGGCTGCATGCAGCAGTTGTCGTAAACCCCTCCCCCGCCTCCGCCTCCGCCTCCTCCTCATCCTCCTCCTCCTTATCCTCCTCCTCCTCCTCCTCGCCGTCTGTCTCTCGAGTACTAACTCGGAACTCGGGCGCCCATTCGGGACGATCCAGGCAGCCCCAGAAGGCCCTCGGCGAGGCGCAGCTGCTGGAGAGCACCCTGAGGCTGGAAAACCGCCGATAATTTATGACAGCGCCCGAAAACCTCGGACCCCCCGACATCGGCGATGTGCTTTTGTTTCGCTTTGCGGACCAAAGACCCCGACCGCTTCCCCGCCTTTTTGGAGACCGTTTTTTCAATCGGCGATAACCCGGGTTATCCGGGGGGGGGGGGAGGAGGGGGCCGGCCGATAACCTAAACCTCGCGCTGTGGGCAGCCCTACATATGCCCGCGCCCCCCCCTCCCGCGGACCTGCACAACGGGCAAGGTTAGGTTATCCTGGGGGGGAGGGAGGGGGGGGCAAGCCCGATCACCCGTGCTATCGCCCGACCCTAACAAAAAAACAGTCTCCTGTTCGCCCCAGGTCCATCCTCTTGGGGGGCTCTTGGGGCCTCCTGGGAGCGTCTTGGGGCGAAAGGCTAGACTTTTCGGTTCGTGGTCCCCCTCTTGGGGCCGTCTTGGGGCCCTCTTGGGCCGTCTTGGACGCCTCTTGGGCCATCTTGGGGCCCTCTTGGGCCGATTTGGGGGCCTCTTGGGAGCCTCTTGGGCCGTCTAGGGGCGGTCTTGGGGGCCTCTTGGGCCGTCGTCAACGCAGTGAAAGCTGCCCCCGGGCCCCCGGGGGCCGAGACCGACGAGCAAAACAAAAGCCCGGTCGAACAGGACCCGCATCGTCGGAGATCCGGGACCCCCCTCGTCCGACCCGGCCTGGAGGAAAGAGAAGCGAGGGCCACGGCCAAGGAGGGGGAACTGGGACGCACAGGTAAATAGACACAGATAACCAGATTCCCCATAGTTTCCCATATTTTCTGGGTTTCTGTCTTCCCCCCCACTTCCCAAATGTTCCCCATATTCTCTGGGGAATCGACGATTCACTAATTGTGTCTGTGTGTTTCTTCCCCTCCTGAAAGACGGAACGCGGAACGTCGGCGTCGATCTTGGTCGCCGTCCACAGTGGTCAGCATCAATTCGTGGACCATCCTCACGGATCGGCGCTGGCCAGCATGGACCATGGTCAGAATCGGCGTCGACAATATCCCGCTACATCTTGGTCATGGTCCCCGCGTCTCTTCCCTCGGCAAATCCTCCCGACCCCCCCATCGTGTTGGCCTCGGAGCGGTTCATCTCGCCCTGGTTCGGGTGCCAACTGCCGCCGGCGCCGGCGGGGGCGGCCCCGTTGTCCTGGTGGCCCATGGAGGGCGCCAACCTCCTGAGGCACCGTCGGGCGCACTTATTGCGGGTCGCTGCCGTTGGCTCGGGCTCATCTTGAACGACAGCCACCCCTGCCGCGTTCGATACCACATCTCCGAGAACATGATGACTTCAACGGGCGTTTTTTTTGTGTTCGATGTCAGCTCCCGGGGCGCCGTTTGCAGGCCATGGGGCCGTTAGAATTTCCTCAATCAGTGCTTGCACTGAAGGGGTCCTAGCGGAACTTGAAAAATTTGGCGAAAATGTCCCGTCGATTTGGGTGGCCAGCTGGGTTCCCGGGTTCCCGGTCGATCTCCTTATCGATCTCTTTATCGATCCCACGATGCATTATCGATCTCATCATCGATCTCCCTATTCATCTCAATCAATCGATGGGTTCTTCTCTGGTGTCATGGGTCTGGGCCGAAAACTGGCCCTGGGGAAGCGGTCGAGTCCTCCGTGGCCGCGGATTGAAGCAACTCTCACTGGCCGCTGTTCGGGCCTGCCGCTTGCGGTGATGGGCCCCGGGGCACCCCCCACCTCGCGCTCCTGCGCCCCGCGATGCGCGAACAACTTCGCGCTCTGGCGCCCTAACGCCGCCTCCCTAAAAAAGGGCAGCCGCTCTGACCCCGACCGCCAGGCGCGAAGCGCGGTCCTCTTTTCGCCCCCGCGGGTGGGCTGGGGACCCCGGGCGTCAGCGCAAGCGGCCGACGGAAACACTCGCCTTGCTCCAAAACCCCCGGCAGGCCAGGAAGAAGCGCCCCCAATAATTACGTCACCCGAGAGGCCACCCCGGCAGCTCACGGGAAAATTCTCCAGAGACCACGCGCGAATCCCCACGACCGAGCCAAGCCACAACCACGCAGCGTTGCTGCCCCAGACGCGGCGTCAAGTGTTCCACTGCGACATTCTGGCTTTTGCGGCAGACCCGCTACCCTGCAACCAGACTAAGTCATCCACATCCTGCTTCTGCCTTTTTCCTCGGCTCTTGCACTGAATGGGGATATAGGCAATCTTGAGATCCCTTCAGCTGTGCACGCTGTGCTCAATAAGGGGACTCCGGAGCCTCTCCCGACTCTTCTCCCGCCTCCTTCTCCTTTTCCCGCCCGTGATCCATCCCCACGGGGCCTCAACGTGAGGATACATTGCGTGGCTCGTGGTAAGAAACGTCATACTTGCATCGTCTCAAGACATCATCAACACATTGGCGCTCGAAGACGATGCTCACGGAACGCTACATTGGCGTTCCAGAACCAGAACCAGTGCTTGTCTGGACTACCACACACATTGCACTGCAGAGTGAATGTGCCGTGGGATACAGCCGCGAGTGAAAGCAGCGCGGCGCACATAATGACAACCTAATATTGGGACGTTGCAGCCGCATCTGCATCCAACTACAAACTATATGAACTTGGCAATAAACAAACACTGGAAATAATATGCAATCAACATCCTTGTGACGAATGCCGATGGATTCCGCACCTCCGGCCCCAACGAGACCAAGACCTCGATGGCGGACTCCCGTGGTGCCTGCCGCAGGAAACAGGACAAAGACGGTGCAGACGAAGCAGACCGAAGAGGCCACGTACTGGCAACACCATGCCCTCTCCGAGCAGCCGCTCCTAACACCGAGACACATACGCTGCTCATAGGGAGGCATAGCGAGCCATCAGGCGGCGTGAGGGTGAGGGAGAGGGATCGGGACAGGGATGAGGAAAGCGACTGTCAGAGCAAGAGAGGGGGGGGAGAACAACGAGGAGGAGGGGGGGGGAAGAAGCAGAGGGACGAGGAACGCAAGGGGGACACGGCGAACGAGGAGAGGGAGGAGGAGGAGGCGGAGGAGGAGGAGGAGGAGGAGGAGGAAGCAGGAGGAGAAGCAGGGGCAGGACGGGGAAATCGAGGAGGTGCCCGCCGCCCACGGAGCCTTTCGCAGTGCCCCCGCGGAGCGGTCGTCCAGGATGTGCCGGGAGACGAGGAAATCCACCAGGGGGAACTCATCTTGGGGCCTGCGGCCCGCCCCAGCCCCCCCCCCCTCGGGGACCTACTGCCCTCCTCCTCCTCCTCGTCCTTGTCTTTGTCCTCGTCCTCCTCCTCCTCCTCCACCTCCTCCTCCTCCTCCCGCAGGATCCTGCAGGCCAGCCCGGGTCAGTGCAACCCTGGCTAACTATGCAGGATCCTTCAAGATGGGGCGCTCTGACTGACCCCCGTTTGCATTGACCCCCGTCTCAAGGCCCCCGACCCCCTCCGCCACCCGCCGAAGTCTCTCCGGGAGGCCAGGCAGAGGACGGCAAGTACAGCAACGTCCGACAGCTCCGATCATGGATCCTAGAGGAACCTCCTTCTCCTCCTCCTGGCATGCCGCATGGGATCATCCTCCTCGTCCCTCCTCCTGCTCCTCCCTCCTCCTCCTCCTCCTCCTCCTCCTCCTCCTCCTCCTCCTCCTCCTCTCCTCCTCCTGCTTCTCCTCCTCCTCCCCCTCCCTTCTCCCCTCCTCGTACCACCTCGTCCCTCCTCCTCCTCCTCCTCCCTCCTCCTCCTCCTCCTCGCGCGTGGGCTGTCCCCCTCCCTCCTCCTCCCTCATCTTCCCTCCGCCCCTGGGCGTAGCATGGCGACGATCTCGCTCCTCACCCGTCCGCCTCGCGCAGCCCGCATGGCCACCCGCCGGCCACGCCTGGAGGAGGCTCCCCTCTCTGCTCCTCGTGCCCCTCGACGCTCGAGGCTCAAGGCGCCTCTTTTTCTATAACAAGCGTGTTGTTTGTTTAACCACCGTCCTGTGTTGGGTCCTCTCTTAGAGTCAGCAGCGTCCTGCGTTCCTCTCCTCACCTCGCCTCCTCTTCCTCCTCATTATTAGGGAGCCCACAAGGGACGTACGCGCCCAGCTATGTACATGAACACGGCCCCTCGATCCGCGAGACCGGCCGCGTTATACGAACATTTGCGCAATGCGGACTCTCGAAACCAGCGTGGATTCATGTACATGTACGTCCTTCTTTCGCTCCTGAATTATCTTCCCTCCTCGCCCGCCTCCCTCCTCATGATCCTCGTCATCGACATCCTCGCGTGACCAGCTTCATCCCCATCAGCAATGACATCATCAGGAACACCAGCAACAACAACAACAACAACAACAACAACAACAACAACAACAACAACAACAACAACAACAACAACAACAACAACAACACTATTACCAGCATCCCCAGCCTTCAGTACCATCATGTTCCCACCTCCATCTCAAACCCACGGCCAGCTTCCAAGCAACTGCGGTCCCCGACCGCCTGCTACACTATGGGACGGGGGTGCGGACACACGCTTGGGGTGGGAGGGATCAACGACCAACTCACCCGCGCCACCGCCACAAATGGCAGAAACCACCCCCACACACGGTGGACCCTCCCCAAGCAGCCACCACTCCCGTGATCTGGGTACCATACTCCTGCCTCGGCGGGGGAGGGTACCAGTCATGGGATGGTGGCTGCTTAGGGGGGGGGATCCTCCTGTGCAGGAGGTGAGGCCCTTCTGCCATCTACCTTGGCGAGCGTGGCCAGTGCTGCCTCGCGCCACCACCGGGGGAGGGCCCACACCTCCCTCATGCTCGGTGGAAACCCCCAAAGCGGCCAAGAGGCCAACGTGCTGGGAACCCTACGCCAGCCTGCAGTCGAGGGATCCCGCCGTAGGCCTCTGGGACGCCTGTGGGGGTGTCCTATGGGCAGAGGAAGAGGCCCTTGGGCCCTTCCCCGCTGCGAGCGGCACCCCACAGAGGGCCCCGCGGAATGATGTGCGCCCTTTTCAACCCGCACAGCACCTCCTTTTAACTCTGCCCCGCACCCTCGCCACCTTTACGCCGCCACCTCCTTTGGCAGTACAGCCTACGCTGACCTGCTTCTGCCCGCTTCGAGGCACCTCGCACCTTTCCCCCTGTCACCCAGCTGCCGCCACGCTACATCTGATACCGCAATATCTCACCTCCACTCCGCGCCTCCCTCTTTCCCAAGACAAGTGAGGGCACCTCTGCGGAGGGGGACCCTAGGGCTGGGCACTGGCCCAGCGAGGCCAGGGAACCCAACAGGGAGGACCCTTCAACACGGGGCCCCACGGGGTCCCCACGCACCACACGCCGCCCACGCCACGCTGCCGCCTCAGATCTCCCCTTTTCCCCTCCCTCCCGATGTTCTGATTATCTGAGAGAGCGTGATCCACCGCCGCTTTACTGTGGAAAATTGCCAACCTTTTCCTCCGGAACCCGGGGGTCTCCCCCCCCGCCCTCCGAAAATCCCCCCCCCCCCCCCCCCCCCGCTGGAAACCCCCCCTCCCCCCCCCCCTCCCCCCCCGGCAAACCCCCCCCTCCCCTAACCCCCTCCCCCCCCCCCCTCCCCCTCGAAAGCCGGGGGGGTCACTACCGGTTCGAACCCCTCCCCCCCCCCCCCCCCTCCGGATCCGGAAAACTGGGGGGGCCACTACCGGTTTAACCCCCCCCCCCCCCCCTACTCACCGCCAGCAAACGACTCCCGGTCCCCACCACCGTCCGCATCACATCCCCCACTGGTGTTCCCAGCACCACTGTCCTCACCACCGCTGTCCCCACTGGTTCCACCACCGCCCCTACTGTCCCCACCAGTGGCCCCACCACTGTCGCACTGTCCCCGCTGTCCCCAGAACTGTTCCCACCACGGTTCCACTCTCCCCACTGTCTCCACGGCCCCAACCACTGCCCGACTATCCCCACTGTCCCCACTGTCCCACTGACTCCTCCGCTGTCCCACTGAGCTGTCCCACTGTTCCCACCACTGTCCCCACTGTCCCCACCACTGTCCCCACTGTACCTCTGTCCCATTGTCCCACCGCCGTCCTCGCCACCGCCTTCACCACTGTCCCCACCACCATTGTACCCTCCACTGTCCCACTGTTTCCACCTCATTCCCATTGTCCCCACACCACTGTCCCCACCACCACCGTCACCACCACTGTCCACTGTCCCCCCCTGTTCCCACCATTGTCCCCACCACTGTCCCCACCACTACCGTCCCCACTACTGTCCCACTCCCCACTGTTCCCACCACTGTTCCCACCACGGTTCCACTCTCCCCACTGTCTCCACGAACCCAACCACTGCCTATCCCCACTGTCCCCACTGTCCCACTGACTCCTCCGCTGTCCCACTGAGCTGTCCCACTGTTCCCACCACTGTCCCCACTGTCCCCACCACTGTCCCCACTGTACCTCTGTCCCATTTTCCCACCGCCGTCCTCGCCACCGCCTTCACCACTGTCCCCACCACCATTGTACCCTCCACTATCCCACTGTTTCCACCTCATTCCCACTGTCCTCACCACCACTGTCCCCACCACCACCGTCCCCACCACTGTCCACTGTCCCCCCTGTTCCCACCATTGTCCCCACCACTGTCCCCACCACTACCGTCCCCACCACTGTCCCACTGTCCCACTGTCCCCACCACTGTCCCGCTGTCCCCTCGCCACTGTCCCCACCAACACCGTCCCCACCACTGTCCGCACCCCCACTCGGTTTTCGAGGGGGGGGGGGGGGGGGGTTCGAACCGGTAGTGACCCCCCCCCCTTTTCATGATGAACTGGGGGGGGGGGGAGGGGTTCGAACCGGTAGTGACCCCCCCCGGTTTTCCGGTGGGGGGGGGGGGGAGGGGTTCGAACCGGTAGTGACCCCCCCCGGTTTTCCGCCAGCAGCGGTAGAACACGCTCTTTCGATTATCTGGATCTGATCCTCTCTCCTTCTTCCCTCCCTCCTGTTCTGCGAAACTCCGGTCCCAAATGTTGTGTTTTCGTCTACTCCCCCAGGGGGTCCCGACCGGGCCTTCCTGGGGGAAGCGGCAACGTGTGCAGACATTCATGCCGTGAGGAATGAGGAACGAGTACTGAGGAATGAGGAATGAGGAGGAGGAGGAGGAGGAGGAGGAGGAGGAGGAGGAGGAGGGGGAGGAGGAGGAGGAGGAGGAGGAAGAGGGGCTGGCCACCCACCCTGGCCCCGCCCGAAGCCCCTACCCCTGGGCGAGCGCGAGCGGTCGCGCGCTGTCATCTCAGATGACCTTGGGCCGTAGCCGCTGCGGTGGCGCAGCGCGGTGGCGCATAGGGCCCCCACCCCACCCCACAACCGGAGGGGGCGGCGAGAGTGTGCGCGCTCCCCGACGCGCACCCGGACACGCGACCCGGGCACGCGCGCGTCGTAAAAAATCTGTCCTGGCGTTCTCGGCCTCTACGGGTCGGCCACTCCGAAGGGTGCGGTCTGCCAAGGGGTGTGGTCCGCCACGCGCACCCGGGGGGGCGGGCGAGGACCTGGGCAGAGTTCTCCGCTGCGCCCCCGGGAGGCCCGACGGGGACCCCCAGCCCGGCGCGGCCGGGGAAGGCCCGACGTGGGGACCCCCAGCTCCAACGAGAAACCACACCATGACATAACCACATCCTCTGTAGTCGCCGAACAGAAGCCCTTTCCGGGCCCCAGGACAGTCAACAAACGACTCGGGCGGCAAAACCCGTCCAGGGGAAAGGGTCGGGACTACCGGGGACCCCACATTGAAAGAATCAAGACGCCGCATGGCTGGGCACGGGCGACCCTTGGCAGGAGGTACCTCTGGCGCGCGGCTTTCGGGGGCCGCGAGGGGTTCAGGTCCAGACGCGCAGGCCAATGCTGGGGGGGGGCCTGCTCACGAGCGGCGAACGTGTCCATTATCAACGTCCTCGCGGTCTGGATTCCAGGGTGCGATCCCGCGGATACGCGGTCGCACGGATACGCTCCGCGCAGATCATCCGCGAAAAAATGCCGCCGTATCTGCGGGGTCATGGCCCAGGGGCCCAGAAACTAGAGGCCTCATGGATAGGGTCGGAGTAGATGGGGTCGCTGGATCACGCCGCATCACCGATGAATCGCCGACGCATCGCCGATGCGTTGGCGATGCATTGGCGATACATCGGCAACGTCGGCGGTGCATCGGCGACGTCGACGTGAAGCAAATCGGGCTCCACATCGAGCCGCATCGGCGATGCATCGGCGATGCGGCGCGATCCTCCCTCCGACCCCATCTACTCCGACCCCATCTAGGAGGCCTTGAGGAACTTTTGGGCAGCGTGTCGCGGCGGCGGGCTCGGCGAACTCTGCGGGGTGGGAGACTCGCAGAGGCTCGAGACGTGGACGTCTGGGGACCGCGAAATGGATAGCGTGTCGCGCCGAAGCGGAGCGACACGCTATCCAAAGGCGCCCCTGCTGGATCCGACGTCCTCGGCGGCGGCACGGGGGCTGGCCGAAACCGCTCATGCAATGCGAGGCGTGGCTCGGTGGCCCTCGGAGTTTCACGCTGTACCACCCAGATTTTCGGTCGACCGCATCGCCTCGAGCACCACCGCCCATCAAGCACCCGCCGTCCACCATGCCTCATCTCAGAGGAGGAGAGGGTGCCGATGCCGCTGCCCTTGCCACGATTTTTCGCCCTTTGGGGCCTCCTGGGAGGCCCTTGCCGCCACGGCTGGATTCGCCTCGAGAGTTTCGCCAGAGCGTACCACGGGAGAGTCCCGCCCGGAATGGCGGTCTCGGGATTTCTGACTTTCCTCACCACCGCTCCCTCCCTTCCTCCGTTCAGTGGGTGCTTGAACGCAGGAGGGTCAGCTCGCCCCGGGAGCGGGGGAAGAAGAAGAAGACAGACACAGAGACAGGGGAGAGGAGGAGGCGGAGGAGGAGGAGGAGGAGGAGGGCGACGACGACGAGCAGGGCGGCGGGGAGACGCAAGGGCTCTCCGCAAGCCGAAGAGGCCTCCGGGCGAAGGGCAGGCACTGCCCGGGGGGGCAGGTGCTCGCTCCGTCGAGGGAGCCTCGGGCCCGCAGAGGCCCCCTGTCGGAGTGACCCTTCGCTGGACTGCCCTCGGGTGCGGGCCCACATGTCTCGGGCGTTGGTAGAACTGGGTTTAGTGGAACCTGGTTCAGTGATCTGTACCGGGGGCGCCCCCCCGTCCCATTTCCACTAACCGGAACTGCCGTCACCCGAAAAAAACACAAGCTATAGCAAACCTGGTTCAGTGGTTCTGGCGAGTTCAAAAGCTCCAAGGCCCATGTGCGTATCCACGGCCAGGGCTGACCCTAAACGGTGTTTTTCGTTTTCGTATCGTTTTCGCTTTCCCTCGCTTCTGTCTCGAATCCGCCTTTACCGCAAAACGAAGTCGAAACGAAAACGGCCTACGAAATCACAAAAAACACCGTTTAGGTCCGGCCCTGGCCCACAGGTCGTGGGGGGAACGCATGTACGTATCCACGGCCTCGCGGGCGCGGCCCCTGGGCCCTGGGTGCGGGGCGATCTTTGTGCGGATGCTCGCGGGGGACGTATCCGAACGTTCGCGTACCCGTGGACCGCGCCTCAGAATCCAAGTCGCGAGGGGGCGGGTACGGACATGTTCGCCGCTCGTGACACAGGTCATCGGCGAAGCACATGTCTTCCCATCGCGTTAGGCCGAAAACTTGTACAGACCCTTCCAAAAGGGGACCGAGTAGATGGGGTCAAAGGGTCGCACCGCATCGCCGATGCATCGTCGACGTCGACGACGCATCGGCGGCGCCGGCGTGGAGAGAGTTGGGCTCCAGATCGAGTTGCATCGCCGATGCATCGGCGATGCGGCGCGATCGTCCGACACCATCTGATCGGAGCCCATGCGGGAGGCCTGAACCGCTACGCGGACTTCTCCACCACCTCCAAGTGCCTAGGACGGGCACGTGTACTTCGGCGGCGAGCCCGGGGGAAATGAGAGGGGGCGGGCCTTCTCGGAAGTCTCGACAGTCCACTGGCCTTCTCAGAAGTTTCCGAAGACTTTCTCGAAGGCCCAGAAAACCCTCAGAAGGCGCGAGGGCATCTGAGAAGCCCTGCCGTCTTCTGAGAAGGCCTCTCCCTTCTCTCTTCCCCCCCTCGCTTAACGCCGAGATTTTTGATTCCCTTCCAAAAACGAGTGTCGGCTCAGGCCCAGACCTCGACCCCCAAAGGTCTCAACCCATTCCCTGGGACCGGCTCGTCATCCCGAGTCGTGTCTTGACGGTCCCGGGGCCTGGCGAGGGTCTCCAGAGGCCGAAACTAGCGAAAAACCTCCGTCGTGATTTTCGCACACGCTCCCCGCCGAGTACTGCGCACGCGCTCGTCAGCGATCTTTCCTCGCCCGCATCGGCCCAGCTGGCGCCGCGATGCGCCGCCAGCTGCGGCAGAGCACTGGCAGACCGCTGGTCGTCGCGCGCCGCCTCACTCCAGCTTCATTCCTGGCGGCGGGGTGCGGACGGGGAGGTTCACCATGGGGAAACGGGTCGACGACGAAGACGGCGACGACGACGACGACGACGACGTCGACGACGACGACGTGGGGGAAGGCCCCAAGGTCCAGGACCCGTTTCCCTCGGGACCCGTTTCCCCCATGCTAAGAGGAGGAGGAGGCAGGGATGGAAGCAAGGGGAGGCAAATGGAGATGGAGGAGAGATGAGAGAGGGCAGGGATGAGGAGGGCGCCCTGGAGGTAATGGAACGTCGCAGATAGCTTGCAAAATATCTTCGCCCTGTGCCCTCATCACGCTTGCCGGCGGTGACGCTTTCTGGGCAGTACTCTTCGAGGAACTCTCGCGTGACCTCTGCCAAATCGTAGCGTCAGTGGTTTCCCCCCGACACACTAAGCGGGGTTTGTGTTTTCTCTGCAGTCCCCACGTGCAGGAGCAATCCACACACACACACACCTCGTCGTCATCGTCCGTAGCATCACGTTCATCATCATCATCATCTTCATCATCATCATCTTCATCATCATCATCATCATCATCATCATCATCATCATCATCATCATCATCATCATCATGATCCTCATCATCATCATCATCATCATCATCATCCTCATCCTCATCCTCATCATCATCATCATCACCATCATCACCATCACCATCATCCCATCATCATCAATCCAAACATCAACACGCGCGGGATTATTGTTCGTCACGTCCTGGGTGGGGCTCTTGTTTATTTCTAGACAACCCGCGTAGGAACCTGTTCTAATCCCGCCCTCACCCTCCTTCACCACCACCCATCTCATAATCATCCATCTCCCACCATTCACCAACCACCACGACCACCACCATCATCATCATAATGGTAATCATAATAAGAAACATCATCATCATCATCATCATCATCATCATCATCATCATCATCAGAATCATCAGCATCATCAGCATCATCATTGTCATCATCATCATCAGCATCATCATCAGTATTATCATCATCATCATCATCGTCGTCGTCATGTTCATCATCATCAGCATCATCATCATCATCATCATCGCCATCGTCATCGTCATCGTCGTCATCATCATCATCATCATCATCTAATCATCATCATCAGCAGTTCCATCGTCATCATCATATTTAAAGTCATCGTCATAACCATCACCATGGACACTCAGAATTGTCACCCACTATCGCCACTAGGACCCATCGTCACTCACAAATAGACACACTCAAATCATCTTCGCCACCATCATCATCATGACAATAATCGGCGTCATCATCATCATCATCAGTATCATATTCAGGAACATAATCATTATGATCAGCATCATCCTCATCAACGTCATCATCATCAGCAGCATCATTATGATCATCATCACCATCATCATCACCAACATCATCACCACCACCACCGACACCATCATCATCATAGTCATAATCACTCTCAGCATCACCATCGCTCATCGTAATCATCATCATCAATCCCCCCACGCACACTCACATTCTTACGCACTCATGCGCTCACAAATTCATACACTCGTTTTGAGGAGCTTTCGAGCGGGAGCCTCGTCTGTCAGTCAATCTCAGGCAGGAGCCCCTCCCGATGAGACCCGCATTTCATGTTAGTAATTCGAAACGGCGGTCGAGATACATGTAAAAACGTACGGTTTTGTGATGACCGAAGCGCCAGAACTCTACTCCCAGTGCTCATTTCGAATGTCTGGAGCAATCCAGAAGTCACTTCGTGTTTCTCGAGATCCAAGACACGTTCTTCCAAGCCTCATGTCGCATGCCCAATGCCAACTATAAGCC